CTCTAAATTCATAACGATAGTCATAATCCGTAAGACCATAAATATGAAAAGCCCTAATGATATTGAGTATTGTGGCTGATCAGTTAACCGCTTTTACCGCTCGCGGTTGCTTATACAAAGCAAATCACATTGTGCGAGCAACAATGCGCGAAATTTCCGTGCAATTGTTTCCTCGCCGCATTTGCGGTCGTTTCGAAATTCCAACGTTTGTGTTCGGCTTTGAAAGTGCACGAGTGTATGTGAAGTACTGAAAAGAAAAAAAAAGAATTCTCTCGAAAAAGCGAAAAAGCTAAGAGCTAACGAGAAAATGTATCGCGTCACACGTGTCGCGTGAACGTTCTCGCGATATACTTGATGTATGTTCATTAAGTTACACACCAGGAGAAATTCCCAAAAATATTTGCGGAATTTTTTATTTATTGCAGTTAGTTACTGAATAATATAGTCGTGGAGCGCAAATTGGCTTTTCAAACAAAACGCTCGAAATGAGGTCTGCTTCATTCTGTACATATAAGCCTCTGTACATGTGTCAGTAATTTAATAATTGATTATACGTACGTGTCGGAGAGAAAGGATGCAATTACGGTGTATTTTTATGTCAGTAAACACAAGTTTTTTTTTCAAACGTATATTCCATGAATGTCGCATATGTTCTCACTGCGTTTATATAAGCTGAGTTGAATTTGCCCAGCACGTCGATACGCGGGCATTAATAATATCGATTGCTGCGACTGACTGGATAAATACTGTTACTATTCAGCCGCATGGTGGAAACACCATTGCGCGCAATCCACCATAGCATTCGGACTTTTGCCGTCGAGTTGTTTTGTGAATCAAAACGTACTGAGTTTACTTTGTCAGCGGAAAAACGGCAGAGCGAGCGCCTGAAGTAACGAACCGGCTTTAGATACGTCTCCATGCTTTCACTGCAAACATTCATTCGTATCAGTATTATTTATACGAACGCGCGTTCTGACAAAAGTTAGAGCTCGTGACTGACGATGCCGTCAGCAAAATTGTTTTGCTCGTTAAGATTTTTGTATTTTTCTTGGCGGCTATGTTAGTTTAATATTGAACTAAAAGTATTAAAAATTACGTATCTTGTGCCCATATCTTTGTGCAAACATGTTATTTGCAAAACCTGTAAAGTTTGTTGAATTTTTTGTAGCGAAACAAAATTGATGATATGATAACTAGATTTTATTTAACACAAGCCGCGTGTAATTATATCTATTTATCTGTTTTGTGTATAATTTATAACATGTATATACATACACATACACATATACAGGGTGTCTGAAAAATTTTACCACAAATAACATACATTTATCTATGCTATATAGTTACCAAATAATAGCTATAACACGCTATAATAAAACTACAACACTAATGTTACACTACATTTAATATTATCATTTTCAGAGATGTATATATTTTTTAATATATTTTTTAAGTTTGTAAAATATTCTTCTAATAATTTTATAGAGAACATTTCTCTAATAATTTTAAAAAAATAAAGAAACGATAACGTCAACATGCTCGTTTTGTCATAATGATATGATAAATAATGATAAATAGTGATAAAGCAGATTTTATTTGATATTTGATGCTTTCGCGGTGTGTTATATTAACATTCGAAGATGTTTTTCAAATTTGAACCGCGTTAGTGTCATTTTGATACCGACGACGTTTTTCGTGAACATTTCAGCTCATTTCATCAGAGTTTCGAAAGCAATCTGATACAGATTTTACTTCTTTTTTTTATATTTGGAAAACTTGGCTTATTAAAGAAATAATGTTTCTTAATAGTTTTAGATTTACAATATTTAATATCACATATCTTTTTTATTTATATATTTGCTTCTTAAATTTAACCGATTAATTACGTTAGCTCTCGTGAAAATAGACGGATAATATTTCAGTCACGCGCGCGCGCGCGCGCGTGACGCGTAGAATTTGATTAGAATTTGCACAGATACAGTGGCTTCAAAAAGTATTGGCGCACACACATTTAATAATAATGCACATAATGGGTTGTATGTCATAATGGAGTTGAAAGTTTACCATTTATCAAAGAAATTATGAATGCTCGAATGCATATCGATGTGTCGCGAAATAATTCCCTACAGAATGCAAAATTAAAAACTTGTTTAAGTATGAAAAAACTTCAAGAGAATTGTGTATTTCCTATATAAAACGCAGGTGTGCTAATATTTTTTTGAGTATAAAATTTTTGTTTTTTTTTTAACTTGCTTCAATTACAATATCGAGAGTTCTTAGAAAACACACTGCTTCCGTATATCATAAGACATTAATGAACATATTTTATATTAATATATCACTTCACTATATAAAGATGTTTTAAAAAATGCGGATATGCCAATACTTTTTGGATCCACTGTATATTCACAGAACACCTGGTAAAATTAATAAGGTATAAGACGTTATAAGCAAATAGATTTTGTGAATTCTTTAATATTTGCATTGAAATGCCTGTCGTTGCTCGCCACGACATCTTTCTACTTATCACGCAAGAAGATTAAATTTTGACAAACGATAGACAGAGAGAAAGACAGCAGCTTGATGTCGCCTGCTGTCCGTGTTGTATTGTCGAGAATTTAATCGAAACTTGATCGATTTTACTCTTACGTATTGTTTCGCAAAATATTTATCAAAGCATATATTCAATATATTTACATACGTATATATACATATATATATATGTATATATATGTTATCTGCTAATGCCTCTTGCACACACACGCGTGAAAAAAAAAATTGCGTACAAAGATGGCAGGTTGAGTGATTTTTTTAATCTTCATATTTAGGATCGATTAGCGCAGATTGGTTTTTCAACAAAAAAATATTTAAAAAAATTTGCTTAAACCGTTTTTGTTTAACTTATAAAAATGACAAAATAAAAACTACGTACATATGTATATGTGACGATCTAATCATATCGCCACGACGGCGATCCGAGTGATAGCTCGCGGTATCGATTTTCTCGCGCGACTGAATTCAGTTTGCCGAAGCTTTTGACAAGCCGCCGCGAGAAGGCAAAATACAATCATGTGTGTTGTTCGGAGTCAGAAAATTCCAAAAAGGAATTAATTCAATGGCAATTTTGGAGCCGAATTTCGGCGAAGTCTGTCTTCGCTCTATGATTGTAGTATCTTGCAAGCAAGTTTGAGAAGTTAAATTACTGCAACTCTCTCCCGTGCGTTTTACCCGGCCGCTGCGTATTTTCCTGGCGGAAAACGATCCTCGTCTTCGACGATTGCTTTCTCCTACTAGCGAATTCTTTGTGAACGTCTTGCCGAGAAGGGTCTCGCCGTTGCCACCATCTCCCCGGTCGTCGTTGGACAACTGCGAGCCGAAATCATCCTGGTGAAGATAATCCGAGGCACTCAGGCTCGACCGTCAGACCAGACTCGAGGTATCCAGACTTCTAATATGCGTGTATGTATATTGAGTGCAAAATAGCTGTGCATTTCTCTTCTAATGCAAATATCACATTTGTTTGTATGTCGGAATTTGACAACTACGTCGAAGAAACGAGTGTAGATTATCAGAAATCACATTAATTGGAAACACATAAGTTTATAATTATTTATTTTACATACATGTATTGCTAGTTTTTTTTTTTTTTTTCTAAATATTTATATCTCAATTTTAGAGCTTTCGTCAGAACATATATAAGAATTTGTTTAGATAAAAATTTGGAATGTAACGCTTTTACATACACAAGTAAATAAAAACCTAATTTCATTCCTTTTGAGTATACAATAAAATAGATTCTCGATACAATCAGTTTCTTTTATTTACAAACAGAACAGAAGCTTATTTGAAAGAAGGTTTAGGTATTTTTGAAGCTCATAATACCAAAATTTTTTTACATATATTTTTTATAGATATTTCAAATATCAAAAACTTGTTAGACTTCCATATTTTTCCATTACATAACGTACGTTCGTGTATTTAGGGATTTGATATGTGTTATTAAATGTGTGAAAATTTTTTGAAAAAATCACCTTGTGTGTGTATAATATATGTATATTTTATCATATTTATTTTTAAATCTTAATATAATCAATTCTCTTCAAGATAATTCCGTGAAGTGAAGCATCACGTATTGCATTTCTTACAATTTTAATTTCAAAAAACTCTCTTTTATATATATATATATATATATATATATTGGATAACTCTCAATTTCGATGCCGCTTTTTTTGTCGTTTGTATGCCGGCACCATTTTCCCCGCCGTTATCGCGATCGTTTTCACGGCATGACTCTCTTTTCTTGCTTTTTTCCAGCATTTGTACGTATCTTTTTTTTCTTCCTTCTTGTTCCTTTTTCTGCTTACGTTTTTCTGGTCATGAGTTGGCACGGTTTTTCTATGCTTATCTACGCGGCACTTATTTGCCGAGGCTATCTGGAAATTTAACGCTTGCGCCCTCGCCAAAAAGATCACCGTCATTCCAACGCCCACTCATTGCCGCTAGTTTGAAACTATTTTTCACGTTTTTCAACTTCTCTGCGCACACGCGTGAAGAACACACACACACACACATACACACACAACACTCACGCGTACGTTCGCTATCTACGCATTTGTCGCTTTTCCGATCAAGCCAGAAAATTCTGACTTAATTCTGACCGGACGTCATCCTCACATTTCTTCTTGTTCGTGAACTTTGTTATACCACATGTAACAACACTGCTACGTGTAGTAGCAACGTGTTACGGATTACGTTAAATATTATATTCCATTTCAAGTCTATTTCCAAAATTTGCTCGTAGGGGAATATGAAAATTTTTTTCTATTTTTGTTTTTTTTTTTTATGTAGAAATGCAAGAGAATTAAAACAAGAGAGAATATTGAATTAAAACTCTTATCTAATAATTAAATACTTGAATATACTTAAATTAATCCTGAGTTTTGATTGTGAACAAATATACATAAAAATATATATAATATAAAATATAAGTGCAAGTTTTTTAATTGTAAATAAAATTTTCTCGCTCAAAAGAGAAGAGTCTCGAGAAAAGGAGTACTTTTTGTCAACATGAAAAATCTACCGAAAATTGCAGTTTGTTTGTTTTCATGTGTTCATGTTTATGTGTTTTTTGTATACGTTGTATTCCACAGTATTGTCCGCGATAAAAAGAGAACGAGTCTTAAGCCTAAAGAAGAGAGACGTTGCCTCAGAACGCGTTAAAGCTTACAGATTAGCTCGACAAAAACTTCTTAAAACGCGCCGCACGTGTCGATTTTCCCTCGGATGTCACTCTTCCTTCTTCCTTTTGTCGGCATTCTGGACCACGGAAGAAAGGGCTGTCAAGGGGTATCTAGTGTAGGATACACTACTAGCAATCATCTTGAGTCGAAGACGATTGTAGAAGCGCAGCTATTCGTTCCGAAAAATCGCCCGAAGCTGTACTGGAACACTGAAAGTACAAAAATATTCGATTCGTTGAAAAAAAACATCAAAATTTATTTTAATTAATATTTTGAATATTTTCATAATTTTTTTTTTAGAAACTTTTAGAAAAATTTATCATCCGTCATAACAATAAGTAAATTGTATATAATTCTTACTCTAATTTTAAAATAAACTAAAATAAACTAAAGATTTTAAAATTCAGTAGTTAATACCAATCCTAAGATTGGTATTTGTTAAAGGCATATTTCAAAGGAAACATTGTCAGCATAGTTTAGAAATGATTATTTAAATCCGTATGTAGAATCCAAGGATTTAAATCTTTTTAGTCTCTCCGCCTGTCTGTTTTTTTCTGAGATAAGTTTAAACGCAAGCTGGTTAGAATGGGAGTCTAGTCTAAGTATATATAAGTTTAAACGCAAGCTGGTTAGAATGGGAGTCTAGTCTAAGTATATACTTAGACACATCTTTTTATTGTATCTTTGACGGTTGCTATTCCCAGATCTCTCTCGACGCGTATAATCTCGTTAGATACGAACCAGGGCGCGTTTAATAGTATTCGAAGAATTTTTGATTGGAATCTTTCCAGAATTTCTATGTTAGATTTCGAAGCCGATCCCTATATAATTGAATACCGTATGTCACACCGGCGTTATAATAGATTTGTAGAGCGGCACTTTATTGCGCAGAGAAAGTTTAGATTTGCGTTCCAAAAGCCAGTACGTCTTTCCAAGTTTATAATCTAATTACATCCTTTTCTTCCATATATGATATGAGATATCATATATGATATGAGATATCATATATGGAAGGAAACTTCTCGATAGAAAAAAAAAAAAAAAAAAAAACTATTGTATTTATCTCATTGCCAGCTACAACTTTCATTTCAAGAAACAATCGACGTTTATTTAAACAAATGATCGCCTGTATATGTATAATTCTCAAAAATTCATTAATAAAAATTTTTAATTTTAAAAAGTCATCGAAGAAGTTTACGATGATCTAATATTAAAAATAAAAAATTTGATAAGTTAAAAATAACGTCTACATTTCTTCGGTTTCTTTTTTTTTTTTTTTTTTGAGCGCGACGTCGCTGTCGTCAATGAAAACTTGAAAAACTCTCCGTTCTCTCTTTCGCGAGAGATCGTTGAAAGCGCAGACGATGTTGATTTCCCAACGGGTTGTCGCTCGTCTATAAATCTACACCCAAGAGTTGTTTAGTCAGTCGGTGCGCACATATAGGCGAACTGCACCGCTATCGTGTATTTTTGATTCGGCAGCTTCCGGAGTGAGCAATGTGAAAGAATATCACATCGGGCGGAAGTTTCGCGTCAATGAACTTAAACGCAGAGGTCATACTTATATGATCGAGAAATGAGACACAGCGGTCGTTTATTCGGGTTCACGGGTCGTTTCTCGCGACACGACCGCGCATTTTTACAGCGTAGGAATACTCTCAGCAATTACGCGCCTCGCGCCACGGCGTTTATTTCAGGATCGTGTTGCGGACTTTAAAATTACGTATAGTTTTTCACCTAGATGTTGTTGTCTCCCGTGTAAATTTTGTTTTATTTTTTTTTCCAGCCATATAAATAGAGAAAAAAATAAATAATGTTTTACTGTTTCGCACTGTTATGCACACACATAAGTTTCCTTATAAAAATATACATTGCTCATTTAAATAATGGAAAGGTAGACACATGTGAAAAATTAATTTATGGTCTAGATGGTCATGTGCATATTACAGGGTGTCTGAAAAATTTTCACACAGCCAAAATGTAAGATAGATTAGGTCTGAACAGATAAAGAGAGCAAAAGATAGATCAAATAAGCGAGTGGCGAATGATAATTTTTCGCCATCAGCTGATTTTCACAACTGAAAAAATCATACATATCTACAGAGTCTGGACCGTAGCTTTTATTTGAAAGATAAAGAATAGTACTTTTAGATAGCGTAGACGAAATTAGAAAAATAAAATTTTCTTAATCGCAAAATCATTTTAAATATTGTCAAAATCGTCAATTTTAATCCATATTACTTCAATTTTCTTGAAAATGTAACGTGACAGAAGTTTTCCGAACCCAGATTTAAATTCAGCGACCAAAAATCTTCAAGAAATGACACACTGCAAGTCAAATACAAAAAAAAAAATCGAATCAATTTTGTCTGACAGTGTAATATTTCTTCGGATAATAACAAAGTTAGTTTTTAATAGAGTTTCGGATTATCTTCTCTCTTACATTGATAAATACGTTCCTTTCGTGTCTGATAAAAAACTTTCGGTGTATATGCTCAGGATTACAAAGTGCATAACGTAACTGCAAGACACAAGAGAGAGAGCCGAAGATAGTTCATCAGCCTTCTAAACGAATCCATCTAAAATACATCGCACGTTGCCTATATTCGCAACATGGTTAAGGCGTAACTGATACTAATTAAATCGTGAATAGTTGCGCCAGTTACCAGTACCGTATGTATATCTTACATGCTCAGCAAGATCGGTTACGTACGTATCTCGTGCTTGTAACACGATAATATACGACGGCTCTCTAAGCAAGTCTGACAAACAAGTTTGCGTGGATGTGTTCTGGAATATTGAAGATGTATTTTGCCGTTAAGAGATTACGAAGATAACAAACAAGATATCAAATTTATTGATTAAAATCGAAAGTGACAAATATGTATTTTAAGTCACACCTCGCCGATTTCGGCGCGCTTTAGATATGTTGTGAGAGCAGATCATACTGAGTAATTATCTAAATCAATTTCGCGTGAAGGACGGTCTTGTGGTTTCGGAGATATAATTTAATTTTAATCAATTTAAAGTTTTTGAACAATATTATTATTTTTATGTTCTTTTTGTTCGTGTTGTACACGTAAGCAGGGGAGTGGCTTCATCTCTCCCCCTGCTCCCCCTTTCAAAAAACCATGTAGACACTTTTGATATGAAGCGACATTTAATTGGATCCTATTGCAATGAAAAAATAAGGAATGACTTATATACAGATATTTTATTTTTTTTCTTATATTGAAGGCGGATAATGTTTTGCCGTATAATATCAAAAAACGCTTGTACAACATACGGATCTCCAAAAAACTCTGCTAATAAGCTCGATTAAAACGCGATACACACAGGTACCACGACTACGAGAAAGAAATTATGAATTCATCGTTAATTAGTCTCAAGAAACATCTCGAGATGCTACTTCTTTGAACTTCTTTGAACGTCTTTGAGTGCAGAGAGAGAAAGAGAGAAGAAAGCTACTCAATTATTCGTGAGAAGACATGCATAGAAAATATACAAAAACTCTTCGCGGAAGATCTCTCTGATCCGGATGATCGAGAAATGAAACTTGTTCTAGTCTCACTGGGGAATCCACTCCATTTCCACTAGCAATTATTTATGGAAAGCGCGAAGCGGTAGAATTTAAACATCCCCGGTGTGTACCCCGGACATTATCACTTAAACTGTAGTCTGAGAAGAGGTCGGAGAGGAGTTTGCCGAAGTTGACCGAGGTCAAACACAGAGTCTCGATAGATCTTTGATAGATAATTTATAAACCAAGATAGAGAAAAAAGTCGGAAGACAAGAGGAAATCTGGAGGATATCTTTGTTGGAAGGAAGAAAAAGTGAGAGATCTGTGGAAATTGACAAAAGTCGAAGAATGTGACTTTAGAAAATTTCTTGTGCGCGGAAATGTCATTATGTCACAAATCTTTGACTGGCAAATAACGTTTTTCTGATTCTCTTCTTCAGGTAGAAACGGAAACATATATAGTGTGCAGTTATAAAGTAAACCTTCAAATATGTAGCAGTAAAGATTATTTCACCTATTATAATCGTTAACTCAAAACTGTAAAAATATTTGAAAAAATTCAAGAAATATTTTTCGTATTTTATATATTTTGTCATTCTCTAATTTCTTGATGAAAACAAAATAAAATGCTATGTAGAATAACTTTTTTGAGTAACTTTTTATTTGCTTGTAAAATATATATGCACACAAACTGACATTTCCGTTAAATTTACAAAAACATATGTAAATGCAATATAATTGATGGGATTTTCAAAGGAATTGCGTCGACAAGAAGACGCAAGGGGAAAGAGAGCACTCGAGATCGTATACTCAACCGGAATTCGATTTCTCGACCCTAAGGGATGATGGGGAAGCCACAGTCGGAATGCGCAAACAAAATCTTACATCACGCCGAGAAGTGCAGAGTTAAATTTGTTATATACGGCAATGGGATCCTCATCAATTTTTTCGAAATATATTTCTCACCTGTGTATTGCCGCGTGATTTCGAACGAAAAACTCTGTGTTTTAAGAAAAAATAAGTCTTTGATTGCTATTCTCACGCACTTTGAAACAACAAGTTTATAACTGTTAATTAAATAGGTTAATTTTACTTTTGTATTCACCGAAAAAATTATATTCTTGTAAGTAGAAGATTTTATACTTAAAAAATCTTCTTAAAGATTTTAGATAATATTCTTCTGAAATGAAGAATATATTCTTTATTTAAGAATGTATTCTTAATTTAAGAATATAGTCTTTTTCGATAGTGAGATATATATGTTTTTTCTATAGAGGCTTTTTATATTCTAATCAGTATATATTCTTATCAATATTACTATTTAGAGGATTTTCCTCTTAAAATAAAAAACCCTTCTTGGCGCCTATTTTAGTATAAAATATACTTAAAGTAAGTGGGATATCCTCAAAATAAGAATACAATTTTTTCGGTGTTTTATACGCACAGAGTTTTATACGTTATCTTATATCATCTTGTATATATATATATACAGTGTATATTATACACTTAGAAGTTGTCATGTGTTACTATGTGCGTAGACGGGAGACAACTTCACAAGGTATATAGCGTTCGCACAAGATATATCATACAGGAAGGCTTATGATGATCGCGAGGTGTCCAATTTTCATGCAAATTTATATATGCATAGTGTTTTGCATATGATGAAGGGTTGCAAGGTTTACTTTTCTC